TAGAGCCAAGTTATATAGAACCAAGTTACATAGAGCCAAGTTACATAGAGCCAAATTACATAGAGCCAAGTTATATAGAGCCAAGTTACATAGAGCCAAATTTTATAGAGCCAAGTTACATAGAGCCAAGTTACATAGAGTTAAGTTGCATAGAGCCAAGTTACATAGAGTCAAGTTACATAGAGCTAAGTTATATAGAGCCAAATTACATAAAGCCAAATTTTAATACAGCCAAGTGGCATGGAGCTAAATAACACAGAACTAGGTGGCATAGAGCCAAGGTTAGGTAGAGCTTACGTAGAGCTTCGGCGTAAACAGCTATGTAAATTAGTTTAGATTTCTAAAGCGTCGGGGCGGGAGTTTGATCGTCGTTCGGGATTGCGACCCTCTGCGGAGATTCGCGTGGTCGAGGTTTAAACATTGAGGATGTTTTACGATTTCTGCGGTCCGCGCGCGACCCTCTGCGGAGATTCGCATGATCGAGGCTCAAAAATTGAGGGATTTTTATGATTTTTAGCATGCGCGAGCGACCCTCTGCAGAGATTCGCGTGATCGAGGTTCAATAACTGAGGATTTTTTACGATTTTTAGCATGCGCGCGCGACCCTCTGCGGAAATTCGCGCGGTCGAAGTTCAAAAACTGAAGATTTTTTACGATTTTTTCGGTCCGCGCGCGACCCTCTGCGGAGATTCGCGTGGTCGAGGTTCGAAAACTGAGATTTTTTTACGATTTCTGCGGTCCGCGCGCGACCCTCTGCGGAGATTGCGCGCGTCGAAGCGCTTTCGCTGTGGCGCCGTGCGAATTTGTCTTAGTCTCGGCGAATCCTCTGCAGAGGTTGTGCGTATCGAAGCGCTTTCGTTATGGCGCCGCGCAAATTTCTTGCTCGCGAAATGGCTTTTGGAAGTTGTCTCGTGGTTTGCGCGCCTGTTTTGGCAATCCCGCGGTCGCGGGTTCGATTCCCCCCTGGTCCGCGGCAGCTCCGACTTGAAAATCGCAGTTTTTAAGTACAAACGTAATACGCGGAGCATGCTCCTGCAGCTCCGACTGGAAAATCACAACTTTTAAGTACAGACATGCTCCCGCAGCTCAGGCTGGAAAATCGCAATTTTTAAGTATAAACATAGTATACGGAAGATACCCCCGCAGCTCCGCATTGAAAATCGCAACGTAGCACGCGGACCGTACTCCTGCAGCTCCAGCTGGAAAATCGCAACTTTTAAGTATAGACATAGTATACGAAACGTGCTCCCGCAGCTCAGGCTGGAAAATCGCAACTTTTAAATACAAACGTAGTATGCGGAGCACACCCCCATAGTTCCGGCTGGAAAATCGCAATTTTTAAAAACAAAAACAATATACGAAGCACATTCCTACAGCTCCGGCAGCACTTACGCAGAACAACTTGCGCAGAGTCACTTGCGCGCAGAGCAACTTGCACAGAGCAACTTACACAGAGCAATTGTATAAAGCATTTGCGCAGAGCATATGCGCAAAACACTTGTATAGAGCAATTGGCACACAGCAACCAATTTGCACAGACCAACCACAAAGCACATGCGCAAAGCGCTTGCGCGGAGCAATTGGCACAGAGCACTTGTGCAGAACAATTTGCTCAGAGCACTTGCGTAGAGCAACTTGCACAAAGCACTTGTGTGCAACAATGTGCAGCAGTTTGCAAAGAGCAATTTATGCGCAACAACCTGGAATAATATAATTTATGCGAACCACTTTCGTGAGAAATCGTATAATGCAAATCGAGAAAAAAAAAAAAAAAACGAAATAGAATTCCCATATAATCATATACATCGAGCATCGCCATATGTGAACACGCTTATCGCAATTCTATACAATAACCTTTGTCTCCGTGGCTAAATAACTACCTGCAAAAAAAAAATGGTATCTCTTCTATTTATTTATATCTATCAATATACCCATTATTCGTCAATTAATCTATCTATTATTTATCTAATTTTCTATTCATCAATCTTTCCATACCCATCAAACTAATAAACCCTCCCCTCCCTCTACCCCATTAATTTTAAATATATTCAAAAAAATAAAAATAAAAATAAACCAATAAATTCTAATTAACACCAAAAATTATATATATTATTTTAATTACTTTATTTAACCAAATCTTTACAAAATTAACACATTAAACAACCATGTACATAAATATGGTATTAATAAATATATATATAATTAATATATATTTATATATATTAATAATATAAAAATGTATATTAAATTTATATATATATATTTATATATTATTAATATAATTATCTAATCTATAATTAAATTAATATAAAAATAAAACAAACAAAATATAAAATATATTCAAAAAAACACATATTATACATTCCAAATTTCCAAAATTTAACCCAATATAATCAACAAACCAGAATAATAATAAAAATATTTAAAAACAATGTATCTAAAAGCCGATTCGACAATATGTTATATAATTTAAATTGTGTTTGTGTTATTATAAATCGTGGCTTTTTCCAATCCAATTCATGCCGACCGAACCCAATCCATTCCGCTCGATTTTAATCCGACTCAACCTCATTCGCCTCTCGCCCCTCGACTCTCGACTCTTGACTCACGACTCTCTGGAGTCGCGACTCTCGACTAACTAACGCCCCTCACCTCTCGTCTCTCAACTCCATCAAGAATATGCACAAATATTATATTGTATGGAACATCTATTTGACATTTGGTGTTTTTAATGTAGTTTCTTCAAGACGCGCAGTAATCGGTTGCTTCCCTCCTGCAACCATACACGTTGACCTGGCCAAGTGTGCCGGCGAAGCCCTTTTTCATTTTTCATTTAAAAACGAGGAGTGAAGTGTGTCTGCCACTGTCAGCCAAAAACATCTCTGTCGGATGATGAGAATGAGAACAATCAATTTGCATTGTCTAAAATGCAAAAGAACAGCACGTGCCCTTAGCTGTCATCCGTGTGTTCTGTGGAGCTATCCAACGGACGCTTCATAAGCGCCAAGCGCAAATTCGTTTGCCGGCCCCACGTTGCTTCATCTTGCTCGAATGCTCACCGCTTGCATTCTTAAGAATTGGCAAGCCCAAACTTGTCTGTTTGCTGAACAGCTGTTGCCTTGTTGTGGTTCGCGTGGACTTGCAAGGGTCCCCAAACATGGGCTCGCCATCTCAACTGTGAGGCGCCTGAGAGGGTCTCGTCCAAGTTTTCGAGGCCCTCCAAGCGCTGCAGGAGCTTGGTGAGCGCCTTCCATTTGCTTCAATCCTGTGCCTCAAATGGGCTCCTCCAAAATCCTGCGTCAGGAGAGGGTCCTGTAAGGTTCCTTTGACTGTTGCCCACCATGTGGGGCTGCCCTCGCCCCCAACTCTTGAGCAAGTGACAGAGTCCACATCTTTGTTCAACGACTCAAGTCTGACTGCAGGAATCCTTCGATGAGGCAGCCAGTTTCTTCGCGCTTCTGTCTTCCTCGCCTCCTCGACTTTGTCGACACCCTGCTGTCGCTCCCGGCCTGACGTGCGACTTGCGCCGTGCCACAGGCGTTTGACTCACAGCTGCCGATATCTGGCTACGGGGAAAGCCTTCACAACATAGGCAGCTCACTCACTAGTCGCTGGAAAACTGCTTCTGGATCCAAAAAGGCGGGGTAGCTGGCTGCGAAGCAGGCGAAGCAGAATCAGGCCGTGGCTGAAAGTACTCTGCTTCAGGTCGGCCACCTCAAAGCTGAAGCTCAGCACTCAAGAAGCTTGCCCAACGAGCGTTTCTGACACCAACAAACCACCTCTCACATGTTCTAGTCACCCATCTTGACTCCCTCTGCTTCCTAGCCCCAATGCCTCAACGTCGCGGCCGTTAAGCTCCACGTCAGCAAGGTCGAGCAGCTCCTTTGAGTCTCGACACATCTGCTCTTGCCATGTACTGGTAGCCTTGGCATGGTGTGCTATTTGGTATCTGTTGGGGCCGTCGGACCAAAAACAAGCAGGAGCTTCGTGGGGATGTTTGCAAGCGGCTGAAGAAGACGGGGGATCACTCACCTTCCCATGAGCAGATGTCAAAAAAAGAAACGGGCGAGGCAGCAGGTGTGCTCCTACAATGGCCAGGGCTTTATTGTGGCTGTTGCCCTGATCTGACAACATGTTGAGTTCAGACAAGGGCGACATTCGCCCACTCCTCTTTGGCATTTCTTTTTCCGGGAAAACTGCCGCCCTGTCCTCTGGTGGAAGAGCAGCCTCTTCGGGATCCTGCTCGGGGAGAAAGGCTGGTGGGCTCGTTCCCACTCTCTCTGACCCACTGCCAAGCCCAGTGCCAAATTCCGGTGGCCAAATGTGTCTCTGGACCCGCACCAAAACTGGCCTCCGCAAAGGGCTGCGCTGCTGAGTCTTTGTAAGGCTCAAGGCCTGGAAGATTCTTCATGCAGAAACCGCTTCAACCTCTTAGCCACTGGAAGAATCGAGTTCAGTTTACAGTCCTGCTATTCATCAACTGCTGTTCACTCCCGGATTTGCGGCCATGCAGAAAAGCGGCACAATGGGAATGTTTGTTGATTTCTTATCGAGAAGTGAGGTCTGCCAAAGAAGAAGAAAAAATGTATCGCAGGCGGACCCCAAAGCCGATGCCGCCGCAGCCTGCATCATTCGTCGTTTTAACCATCTCTATCCTCACTTTCGGAGTCCGTCATTGATCTCACCGTCATGTCCAATCTGAGTGGTCGGCGCAACTGCGGCTTCGCCTCTTCCTGAGCACTGCGCAGCAAAAACTCGGCTGCGATGTGACTTGGCTGTGGGTCAGAAATAGGCACCCTGTTCTGAAACTTTGGTGAATGGAAACCTGGCCTCAAACCTGCGCTCCATGACCCATTCCGGGTGCCTTGGTACCTTAGGATGCTCCAATTGGTGGCCCAACCTTTGACCCACAGCCACATGGCCATGGGACATAACCCATGGCGAGCCACAGCCACTTCTTCGGCTTTCACCTGACTCGACCGAGCCCTGCCTCCAGCTTTGGCAGCTGGAAGAAGATGGGCACCCGCGGGTGGGCCTGCCCAAGAGAGAGAGAGAGAGAGAGAGAGAGAGAGAGAGAGAGAGAGAGAGAGAGAGAGAGAGAGAGAGAGAGGTCAAACTACATGCTTCACTTTGCACTCTTGTTGCATGTATGTTCACTACCGCAGGCCTTGAGCTTACTACTCCGCATGAGGCAAAAGGTTGGCAGCTGCAGACTACATTGGTTGACTGTTTGTTTGAACACTACAGCACTTGCACTTGTAAGCAAAGTAACAACCGATTTTAACGTGGTAGCGGAGCTGAGATCCTAAACATAGGGGAGCTCCAGTAAGCAGTAAGTACTACAACCACAGCAACAGCAGCTACATGCCAAACTACTACGACATGTCAGGAGAAGCAGCATCAGCCTCAGCACAACAAACTACAGGAGCAGAGAACGGGCCAACAGCAGACACAGTAAGAGCCACGACTACGGGAGCAGGAACAGAACAAGACAACGACGTTCAGAGACTACACAGTTCTTCACTGAAGAATGGCTGTTCAAGCTACAAGCATACCTCGGCCTCATAGACCGAGACTTCGACCTGGTGCTACAACTAGCACAAGTGGCTACACGACAGATTGAGGACACAGACATCAGAACACACATACTCGACCCTACACAAGCAAGCAAAGCAGTAGACCTCTCCAGAGATCTACACTACATCCTCATCAACATCTGTCAGGGAGCAGCAGCTACAGTAGTAAGGCAAAACCGCTACAACGCAAACGGATGTGAAACACTACGACTACTACACAACAGGTTCAGCCTATCAGTAGGAACAAGGAGCGTTGGTTACCTTACCAAACTACTGGAACCCACATTCAACGAGGCGCAGTTTGAGGAATACGACATCAACCGCTACAAGAAAGACAATGGAACAGCACTCGCAGATGGAATCAAAGTAGCAATACTACTCAACAAAACCAAAGGAGCACTGCAGCAACACCTCCAACTGCGAGCTGGACAGATCACGAACTACACCGAGATCAGAGCACTCATCCTGGACTACTACAAAACGATTTCAGCCTTCACTAGATCTACTTCAGCAGTAGGAACAAACTACAATGGAGGAACTGCACCAATGGATGTTGACAACATATGGAGGAAAGGAAGAAGCTACAAAGGCAAAGGAAAAGGAAAAGGCGGCTACAAAGGAAGCAAGAGCAAAGGCAAGTACAGGAGTAAAGGACACTACAAAGGATTCGACAAAGGCAGCAAAGGAAACTACAACAAAGGAGGATACAACAAAAGCAAAGGAAAAGGCTACTCAGGATCCAAAGGATATGGATCAAGCAAAGGCTACACAGGCCAAGGAAACTACAGCAAATCGAAAGGAAAAAGGAAACAACAACTACACAACATGCCATCGATGTGGCAAGCCCGGCCACTGGGCACAAGACTGCAGAGTGCCAGTGTGGCACATAGGAGAAGGAGAAGAACTACATCCACTAGAACCAGAACAAGCAGATCACGACAACAATGATACGAGGTGAACTACATGGAGGAGAACTGGAACGACTACGACTATGACAACAGCTGGGATTGGAATGACAACAGCTATGAGGACACAGCGAACTACATTGGAGGCATCAACGAGTCACACCTCACCATTGGACACATCAGACAAGCAAAATCACGACTACACAAGCACAAATCCAAATCACTACTTGGCAAGAGAACAACACACACAACATCATGGAACGACCACAGCAAGAGCTTTCAACAATTCCTACAAGAAGACACCACAAAGCTACACTTCGACATAGCAGCAGCAAGACAACAACAAAGGAACAAGAAGATTGAGGACACTATCACCCACTACATCATGTACTCCAACTTCAAGTCATACCACCACCTGTTGATCGACTCAGGAGCATCTACACATGTTTGCCCAAAGGACTACGCACCGGATCTTCCACTACGACCCTGTGGAGAATCAGTTCCACAACTCTACACGGTGACCAACAAGAAGATTCCAGTCTACGGCATCAAGTACGTTCCCTACAAGCAGGACAACTTCAGGATCATGATACCCTACTACGTTTGTGATGTGAAGTATCCAATCCTCAGCGCATCAAGACTACTTGATAGAGGATATGGACTTGACTTCACTCCACGACACTGCACCATCACACATGGACAACAACAAGCACACCTCATAAGACACTCAGGACTTTTCTACCTACGAGCAGAGAAGATCGACATTCCTACAGGATTCGACATCTACCCAATGACTACAGACAATGGAAAATCCATTGCTGTGATTCAACCTACAGAGAGAGCAGCACAACAACAAGAACAAATCGCACCACTCACACACACAGACCAAGGACTACGACAGATCCTTGGTGGAAACACTGACTACTGGAAACTTGATGGTGACTACGCCATCAGAGTACACAAACGACCACGCAAAGCACTGTTCACACCACACAACAGTGGCTGCCCAATACCAGAAGGAGAACTAGATGATTGGCGACTAACCATCATCAACAGACAAGGGCAAGAGCAAGAACAACTACAAGAGAACCCAACACAACTTTCCAAGCAAGAACTACAACGAAGACTAGAAGGTGACAACTGGACTGGAGAAACCAGATTCAGAAGAAAGATAACACCTACACGCAGAGCAACATCAAAGACCACGCCAACAAGGCAGAGCTCACAACCACAACGGCTAATGGACACACCACCAACCAGATCAAAGATCCAACTACGAGCACCACAAAAGATATGGAGACCCAAAGCAGCACCTTCTACAAATCTTGACACCGCACAACCAAAGGAGACAATACACAGACCACTCACAGCACAGGAGGACAACCAAGACTACTGGGAAAGACAAGGTGAACATTGGATACGACACCACACAACGCTTAGAACAACTCTCTTCACTCCAACAGATGGACCAGGACATCCACCAATCAACACACTTGAACCTCACAGAACTACAATCACTCACAACAACTTTGGAGAAGTTTCACAACGCAAAGATGACTGGACAGTCATGGGCAACGCAGCACTACCATTTCAATGGAAAGGAACAACAAGGTTCACCGTGAAGAAAGACTACGAGTACATCCAGGAGAACCACGATGAAGAACAACAACACGAGCATCATGAAGCACACAGAGCAAGAGGACTACGACAACCACAGCAGCCCACTCCACAACAAATAGCAGAACACAACCTTACACATCTACCATACAGAAACTGGTGTCCAATTTGCGTTCAAGGCAAAGGACGCCAAGACAACTACAAGAAACAACAATCACGACAACCTGTCATTCAAGTAGACTTTGCCTACATCAAGTCACAACAAGACCCAAAGACCACACCGGTACTGACAGCAGTTGATGTTACTACACAACTGTGTATGGCAGTATTGGTTCCAGACAAATCATCAATGATGGACTACATGGTCAACAACCTACAAGCATTCATCTTTGAGTGCGGAAGAACACAAGGCATACTACAAAGCGACAACGAAGACACACTCAACGCACTTCTAAAAGCTACAGCAGCAAAAGTCGGCACAATGAGTGTACGACATTCACCTTCCTACAGCAGCAACAGTCAAGGAAGCGTTGAGCGACTACATAGAACACTTCTCGGACAAATCCGCGTCGTCAAAGCTCAGGTTGAAAGCAACTACAGCATGACGATGTCCACAAAGCACTGTCTACTACCTTGGATAGTACGACATGCAGCATGGACGGTAAATCGCTACGTCATTCACTCAGACGGCTACACAAGCTTTGAACGCCGCTGGGGAAGAAACTACGAGCGAGCAATCTGCGAATTTGGCGAGACACTACTTTACCTTCCACCACAACACAAGAAACTTCCGAAAGCAGACCTACGGATGCAGAAATGCATCTGGCTCGGAAAAGTTTCCGAAACCGGAGAAAACTACGTCGCAACGGAATCAGGCGAACAAAAGGTACGAACAGTACGGAGACTACAACCGGACTTCAAATACGACCTCGCACTGTTGAACAAAGTTTCCAGCACACCATGGGCACCATGACGGAACACCTACAACCCTTCGTTCGCGACACTGTTGGATACGCAACTACAACCGTCAGAGAAAAGAAGGTCCACGCAAGATTTCGGACAACAAACGAACGCTACGGACAACATCGTTGCGGAACCCGCAACAAAACAACAACGCACTACACCACCTCCACGACTTCCGTCCACATCGACGTCAAGTTCACGACCACTACCGGATAGTCCTATGGCTACTTCACCAACTGGACGACAACATCCACCACTACCAGCACCACCTCGACAAACACTAAGACGTTTAACTCTGGAAGAAGTAATGCAACCAACTAAAGCACAGAAGACCTCAAAGGACACTACAATCAGATCAACGCAGCAAGCAACCAAAGAACCACCACCACTACGACAGAAAATCAACGCAGTGACACTTCCCAACGGAAAATCCATCACCCCCTACACAAACGACGACACCTCAGAAGACCAACCCATAATCTTCGACAACGAAGGTTACGACGAAACACAACTACTGGAAGGAATGAAACACGAGTCAAACCAAATGAAACTACACGACGTCTACGACGAAGTAGATGCGTCTACCGTCGACGACAACGTCATCAGAGAAGCGATACCTACAAGATGGGTACACAGAAAGAAAGGACCAGGAGTACGAAGCCGAATCGTCGCAAAAGGCTACACCGAGAAGATCGAGGACGAAGACTCCGTCTACGCCTCTACACCAATGTTCACGACACTCCGGACACTTCTCGCACTACAAATGTCACGACCAAACTGGATCGCGCGACTAGGTGACGTCTCTACAGCATTTCTACACGCACCCATCGCAAAAGACCACGACGGTAAACAACGTGACGTCTACCTTTGGCCACCTAAAGAACTTTGTCCACAACAGGACAAAATCTGGCGACTAAAGAAAGCCATGTGTGGACTACGCAGTTCACCGAAAGCATGGCAGGACTACCTGGCTGAAGTTCTACAAAAGCTCAGCTTTGTAAGACTAAAGTCAGAACCCAACGTCTACACCAATGCGACTCGCGACTGCTACATCATGGTCTACGTGGACGATCTACTAGTACTTGGAGACAAGACCGCAGTCGACTCCACTTTCGAGGCCGTCCAGAAGCAGGTACTACTCAAGCACATCGGCTACCTCGAACCTGGCAAACCACAACAATTTCTTGGAAGAAACATCGACCACTTCGGCAACTACTGCAATCTTGGACTAAAGGACTCCTACATCGACAACATGATCGAGGAGCCTGGAATGAACAACTGCAACTCAGTAAACACTCCAGGAATTGCACACTACAAACCAACAATAGAAGATGAAGCACTACTTGACCACGAACAACACAAAAGGTACAGAAGAATTGTTGGCAAACTTCAATGGTTAGCATACACACGACCAGACATTGCATACTCCACAAAAGAACTAGCACGAGACCTCACAGCACCTACAGAACTTTCACAAAAGAGAGTCAAACATCTACTACGCTACTTGCACGGCACCAAGCACTACAAATTCACCATAGAACCAACAACAACACTCAGAGCAAACACCAACAACATCCTGGATCTCGACGTTCATGTCGATGCCGACTGGGCAGGATGCCCTACTACCAGGAAATCAACTTCAGGTTTCAACATCATCTTTCTAGGAACAACAAGTTGCATTTGGCAGCAGAACACAAGCTACAATAGCACTCAGCTCAGCAGAGTCTGAACTCTACGCCATTTGCACAGGAGTTAATGAGGGACTACACCTCAGAAACTTCCTACTTGAAACCAACATTTGCAGCAAGCTAAACCTACGCATCCACACAGACTCCACAGCAGGCAAGAGCATTGCTACACGACAAGGCACTAGCAAACGAGCAAAACACATCGACCTCAAATTCCTCTACACACAAGACCTCATCAAGCACGACATCATCAGAATCCTTAAGATCAACACACTCCACAACAGCGCAGATTTGTTTACCAAATACATCAGCAAAGAAACACTACACAGGCTCATCCAGAGCATTGGAATACGCATCTAGCACTACGAACGACCAGCACAGCAGTTTCACAACAACAACAACAACAACAACAACAACAACAACAACAACAACAACAACAACAACAACAACAACAACAACAACAACAACAACAACAACAACAACAACAACAACAACAACGACTTTGGACATTTCATGTATGTAAGTAGCTACATGTAACACGACACTTTTGGTATGTAAGTAACAGTAACTACATGTACTTTCACTTGCACTTTTGGCGGCTTGAGTCAACACTACAGTTGTTTGTTTTACATGTCTGCATTCGCCGACTGCCTGGTAGCAACTACTTAGGCTCATTTGTTTTGCCCCGTTTCACTACATTTTGCATTCCACTGCAGCCATGGCCGCTCCATCTACTGCAGATGCTACGATGGGAGACGCCACTACGCCCGACAGGGCGACTACACCTGAGGTGGCGGTCACTACGGACTCCAGTGACCATGGAACTCCACCACCTCAAACCTACAACGACTCCAACTACCACTTCAACCATTCTACACCCGGCAACACCGTCTACTACAACCCGACCACAGTGATGGACCAACTACACATCACTGAGCACCAGACAACCACTACAATTCCACACTGCTCAGCATTTCACTACCTGAAGCAGCCAATGTCCACTACTACCACACGACTTCACTCCACACTACAACTGGCGACAACACCAACTACGTCATCATCCAACTCCAGATTGAACAACCACTACTCCTGAGGTACCTCACTTCAGGACAATTTCTACACTTCACAAGGGACTACATCTCCTACATGATGTCGGTACAACACAACTACTACCTCCCGACTACAACACTGCCACAGACCATCTTCAAGGTGAACTACAACATGACCACCTTCACTGACAACTACAGCCTCAGGAACAACTACGTTTGGAATTACCACATGCCACTACTTCTACCTGAACTACTCCATTACCTTTACAACCGAGACCAACTACACGACTTCCAGCACAAAGCAATCACTACAATCCTCTGCAAAAGCATCCAATACTACGGATTCACACTACTCACAATGACCAACCTCACACAACACCACAAAGCACTACTACACCGCTTTCTACGGGACTACGACCAACACATGTCGTGTCCCGAGATTGATGATGAGCGACTACGGGGAGCTCCAAACTACATGACAACCTTTTTCACCACCAACTACTACGCGACCTTGGACAGTCGACTACAGATGGTCCAAGCCTACCGCGCCCAGAAATGGGGACTACATTTTTGAGCTTCTGCTCTACTACAACGAGTGCCTGCCTTCACTACTTCCGTCCAGCGCCCTACATCGAGCTGGAACCTGAACAGCGTGAACTACTGAGCGCAGGTCACTACTTTTGCCAATACAGTAGAATTGATGAACAACAATGGTTTTCATCACTACTGTCAATCCATGTTTTGCACTTCAGTTGAAAAGGTACTACAAAGACCTTTGAACTGAGGGGCCGTGTCAAACTACATGCTTCACTTTGCACTCTTGTTGCATGTATGTTCACTACCGCAGGCCTTGAGCTTACTACTCCGCATGAGTCAAAAGGTTGGCAGCTGCAGACTACATTGGTTGACTGTTTGTTTGAACACTACAGCACTTGCACTTGTAAGCAATCTAACAACCGATTTTAACGAGAGAGAGAGAGAGACCCGGTTTCCCTGATATGGCGGTGGGAACCTGCAGTGGGGATTGGGATGTTCACTGGGGGTACGATTTGGATTTTGACCCATGGCCATATTAGTTCCTCAAGCAAAAAGCGCCAAGAGTTGCTTTATTTCGACCATCCCCACCTAGAACTGTTGCTTGGTCAAACTGGATTCAACTAGATTGCAACCTCCCTTTTTGAGCCCATCGACACACCCCGCCGCCCGTTTTGTTCATTTCAAAGACCACCCGGTCGTCTTGCGTCCGCCTCGTGAGACAGCGGCACCAAGGCTTCCAGGCGCCGGAAGCAGCGCCGCCCGGACAGCACGGGCCTGTCGTGTTTTTTAACTCACCCGGCGCAGGAACCCAGGCACCAAGGAACCAAAGAAGGAAGCAATGTTCAAGATTCCGCATCAACAGGGTGCCTCAAGAAAACCCAGAAATAGGGCAGCCAAGCTAGCTTTTGGGGTGACACCTTCCAAATTAGTTTGGCCAAGATTTCAACTCGAACCAAAAGCAAAGCAAACCTTCAAGTTGGAAGAACAGCTCTCATGATTTCCTCACATCTGATACATGCACTTGATTTGGGCCAAAACTCCATTCAGAAAGCTGCGACAGGGCTTCGGTAGGGCTGAGGCTAGATCAAAGTGCCATAAGTCGAGCACTGTTCAACACCAACTGGCAGTAGTTTGTGCATCGGGGTGGTGATAGATGCTCGTACCGGCATCCCTCTGACTCTATGAAGTACAATCCTGGCAAATATGGCCAGTAAGGCTGGTGGGTGCCAATTTGCAGTGCAAGCACTCAACGTTCTGCACAGCTTCCCCCAGCTGTGTGTCAAAAGACTTGGCACCACCAGAATGGTGCTTTCCTTTAGGTGTCCCTTCCAAACCAGCCCCCAAAAACCGCCAAAACACACCAAAGAGCTAGGGCTCCACGCCCCAGAACTCGGTGGCTGCTGTCCAGGCCGGGCTGCGCGCTCAGAGTGAGCGCCAGCCTGAAGATTCTGCGCGCGGTGCTTGGCTTTGAAGAATACGTCGTGTAATATGGCTGGGTCAAAATAGGTACCCAGTTTGGGAAAACCCTGGTAAATGGAAAGCACTAAAACCTGCGCTCCCCTTGTGGATTAATTTTGACCCATATCCATATTTGTGACATTGTCGTTTCTGAACAAACACAGAGATTACGTATGTCTACTCACGCCTCGCATATTATGATTGAAGAATAAATGGGAGACTGTAATGAATGGGCATGGCATTGAGCCCATACCCAGCCCACGCCATCCACACTTTCCTAAGGCCACTGCCCAGGGCCTTGCCGAGGGGCAGTCAGCAGACCTGCCTGAGAGCGGGGCCCCATTCCCCCAATCCAGTCCCGAGCTTCTCAAATGGTTTAACCATTTCGGTTTGTATTTAAAGGGAAGCACAAAGGAAAACCAGTTTCGGGCCGTCCCTGTTTTTGAGAAAGACCATTCCTGGACGCCATGCCTGTCGAGATGGCGGACATGTGCGCATGGGCGACGCGGCAAAAAAAACAGGATGGACGGCGGACATGCGAGGAAAAAAGAACAGGATGGATCGCACGAAAGCAAACACAGCCGACGCCAATGTGCCTCAAGAGCAACAAACCGCATGCTCGGAAGCTTCATTCCACCAATGAAACAGAACAGTCTTTCAAGACCCAAAGTGGTGGACCTCCAGACTTGCACATCTGCACCTCCACATTCTCCACACGCCTTCGGGTTCCTAGGCTTCCCAGCGCAGCCGTGGAGCCCTGCACTCTGAAAGCCGTTCACCGGCAGTTCTGGTGCCTGCGACTGTGCTTACCTCTAGCACGGCAAGCTTGTTCGCAAAAATTCGGGGGGACGCCCATTTGGGTATGGGTCAAATCTAACCAACAGGGGAGCAGGTTTTAGTCCTTGGTTCCATTTACCAGAGTTCCATTTTGGGTACCCATGTTTGACCCACAGCCATTTGAACATTCAACAGCTTGCAGGCCAAACCCCTAATTATCCTTCAAAGCTTTCTGACCGTCGACCCTGTGCGACAAAGATATTTGCCTGACCCACATGTTTTTGTTAAATGCTGCTCCCTCAAGCGTCGCGCCGTTGGCCCCGTCTCCCTTCCATCCTTGGCAGGCTCCACGGGAAGCAAACCCGCAGCCATCTCCGGTGCTTCGCCTGAGCTGAACTTCCAAACAAGACTACGGGGACTCTCTGACTGACTCGGACGTTCTTTTTGGGCGCCTGTCGGCAATCGAAAATCCGGGGGGGACTGAAAATGCGCCAGCCTTCGACCAGCTATGACTTCAGCCTGTCTGTACATCTGTACATGCACCTTGCAGTGCTCCCGGGCCGTGAATCTTTGCCCCTGGATGGCAAAGTCTGAATCTGCTAAGCTCGGCAGTCTGCCAAAAGACTGAGATGACCATCACGTGCAGCCGATCAAGGGAACCGAAAACTTTGGGGATCCATGAAAAGCCAAGCCATGCCAAAACACATCTGCAACCCCAACCTTCAAATGCCGTCTCCCCGTTCGACGAGTGCAATGCTCTAAGTTGACTGTTGACAGTTCAGTGGTTCATGACCATGATGATTCTCCTGACCTGGTTGCTGCCATGGATACGGAAGATTGTAGCCAGACGGAAGTCCGAACACTACCACGCTTCAGGAGCCTGTTGCGGGAGCTGGTTGGCTCACCGTTAAGGATGCCCCCAGGTGATGCCATATTCACCTTTCTTGCCGATGAATTCTCCTTTCCTTGGCTTGTCACAGCATCAGCGGCTAACCCATGAAGCTGTCACGAATCTGTCAGCGCACTGCCCACTTAGCCCAGTTGCCTGCCCGGACCGTCAGAGTCGTCAGAGCAATCTTTGCCCTGTCATGGTCAAAAGGTCCCAAGCAGTAGGCTCAGATTGCTCAAAGCTCCGCAAGCTGTTGTCAAGTCCTCCCCCCCCCCCTTGCCTTCTTCCCCCCCTCCCACCAGGTGATGCCATATTCACCTTTCTTGCCGATGAATTCTCCTTTCCTTGGCTTGTCACAGCATCAGCGGCTAACTGTCAGCGCACTGCCCACTTAGCCCAGTTGCCTGCCCGGACCGTCAGAGTCGTCAGAGTAATCTTTGCCCTGTCATGGTCAAAAGGTCCCAAGCAGTAGGCTCAGATTGCTCAAAGCTCCGCAAGCTGTTGTCAAGTCTTCCCCCTCGCCTTCTTCCCCTTGCCTTTGCCAATTCCATATTCACCTTTCTTGCCGATGAATTCTCCTTTCCTTGGCTTGTCACAGCATCAGCGGCGCCTGCCCGGACCGTCAGAGTCGTCAGAGTAATCTTTGCCCTGTCATGGTCAAAAGGTCCCAAGCAGTAGGCTCAGATTGCTCAAAGCTCCGCAAGCTGTTGTCAAGTCTTCCCCCTCGCCTTCTTCCCCTTGCCTTTGCCTTTTCCATATTCACCTTTCTTGCCGATGAATTCTCCTTTCCTTGGCTTGTCACAGCATCAGCGGCTAACCCATGAAGCTGTCACGGTTCTGTCAGCGCACTGCCCACTTAGCCCAGTTGCCTGCCCGGACCGTCAGAGTCGTCAGAGTAATCTTTGCCCTGTCATGGTCAAAAGGTCCCAAGCAGTAGGCTCAGATTGCTCAAAGCTCCGCAAGCTGTTGTCAAGTCTTCCCCCTCGCCTTCTTCCCCTTGCCTTTGCCTTTTCCATATTCACCTTTCTTGCCGATGAATTCTCCTTTCCTTGGCTTGTCACAGCATCAGCGGCTAACCCATGAAGCTGTCACGGTTCTGTCAGCGCACTGCCCACTTAGCCCAGTTGCCTGCCCGGACCGTCAGAGTCGTCAGAGTAATCTTTGCCCTGTCATGGTCAAAAGGTCCCAAGCAGTAGGCTCAGATTGCTCAAAGCTCCGCAAGCTGTTGTCAAGTCTTCCCCCTCGCCTTCTTCCCCTTGCCTTTGTCTTTTCCTGGCAACAAACTCAGATCCACGCTGCAATTCCTCTCGCTACGCATAAAACTACGTTCCCTCAAGTCAGCCTATTTAGCCAATTGGTGAAGGGTTGCACGAATTCAACAGCTTTGATTCAGCCCACAGTCTGCCAACACGTATCAAAGCACACATGTAGACACCTGACGTGTTGCTGAATCGGCTCTCCAGCTTGTTCTAATGCATGTAGGTCTTGGTTGTATATGTTGAGGCATTTGTACATGCCCCTTTTACTTGCCCCTCACACACATTGCCAAAGGCTTGCTGTTCATACCTTTATGCCTTTATGAGATGTTGGTCCCTGGGCTAGAGACCAATTGCGATCAACAAACTGGCCCGCAAAAGTGTTGGGCGCTGTGAGATGCTGTGACAGGCCTCCGCAGCCTCCGCTGCCCTTCCCTTCTACGTGAACTGCCTGAGACATGGCTTTGCGAGAGTGCTTTGGCGAGTCTTGTTCTTGGGTCACTTCGTGTCGGGTGTGGCTCAAAATCTAAGAGCTAGGGTAACACAGGTTTTAGTCTTTGGTGGTTCCATTTACCAGGGTTCCATTTTGGTACCGGTGTTTTGAGCTGTGACAGAGCAGCCTAGGCAAGTTGCAGTGGATGTGAGCTTTCCCTTGCGAGCTTGCTCGCCAATTGGTGCTTCTCCCACAGAATCTCACGCCAGCTTGAAAGTGGGGCCGAGCCAACTAATTAACACCCAAGCCCCTTCCACTACGCCATGCAGCCTTGCAACATGCATTTAAGTCTGATCCGGATGATTTGGAAAAGCCTTTCTGGTTCAGGCGCTTTCTATCTCCTCCGCAAATGCGGCTGTGAATCCCGTGTTGCGTGCGCATCTCCTAGCTTGTCAGCTCTCCAGCGTTGCTGCGCCTTGGGCGGACCCAGCAACTTGGACAAAGCCTCTGCTGCCGCCACGCCGCTCCTTGGCTGGGCGAAGCGGTGAGCTTGGCTGGGTCCATCTCACAAAAGTGACCAGCGATTTTAGCATTTTGGAGCCCCTCCGTAGGTTGGAGCAAGCCAGTTTGGTTGGCGCTGGATATCCAAACACCTGTCACAGCCAGTATTCCAAGTCCTGAGGCATCAGTGCTTCACGCAAGCAACCTCGCAACGAGACGCTGCCTGAAACAGGTCTGGGGGGACAGGGATCCTTACATTATACACCTGAACATTGCCTTGTCAATGGTGGTTTCCCTTTATTTTGCTGTTGAAAAGGCCAGGGTGCCTGCACCCTGGTTGCAACAGGATCTTCTCAGGAGCCCTGGGAAAAGCTTCGCACCCGCAACCCGCCCGAGCCGCTGCAGGCAGCCGCTGAAGCTGGACTCAGCGAAGTAGTCCCCGGCCAGCAGCAGCGGGGGCTCGCGGCTCACCACCATGCAGGGTGTCTCTGATGCCACCTCACATGCCCCCAGCTCGCTTCGCTCCATGTGTTTTTGAGACAGGTGGCAGCTACCATGGCTTGCCATGGCGCACCATGCCATGTCTTAGCACGTCTTACCATCTTAATCACTTGGGTGAGCTTTATGCTCGTTCTGGGACATGCGCGTCACCATCAGCCAAAAGTCACATGTCAGCGCACGCGTGGTTGCGCGCCCGGTTCCTGCAGCCTTCGCTGGGCCCGAACCCCACCCAGCAGCCGCCCCAGCCTCCAACCAGCCAACTTTGCGGCTTCCAGCCCCGAGCCTATCACGGCCAGCCATCACGCAGCCGTGGCATGAGCGTTTCTACCCCAGAGCTTCCAGCCCAGCACCAAAGTCCCCCGGCATCATTTGCTCAAGCCAGCATTCGCCTTCTTTCTCATGGCTCAAAATGAGCCTAACCGAGGCGAGCAGCGCACAGCGTTTACCACAATCTAATTCAGTTGGCCATGGGTCAAAACCCCGTACCCCCATTGAACAGCCCAATCCCCACTACAATGGAGTGAAATGGGTGGTGTACCTATCCCAAAATGGTACCATTGGTTTTGAACCATGGCCAGTTGCCTCTGTGAAGTTCTCCTTTTCTTAGCTCACACCCCCTACACCCTCCTTGGCGGCCCATTCGAATGGCAGTCGGCCCGCAGTCCGGGGTCGGTGCAGCAGCCAAAAAAATATATATATATATTTTTTTATAAAAAAAAAAAAAAAAAAAAAAAAAAAAAAAAAAAAAAAAAAAAAAAAAAAAAAAAAAAAAAAAAAAAAAACTATTCAACTGCATAGAGGTCAAAGTCTCGTTGTGCCAACTTGCCAATGCCAAGGCACAGGCTCTGTCACCTGACATTGCTTCCAGGTGATGACCTTCGACGTGTCCGTGAGCTGCGTCAAGGCACCTGGCAGCTTTTGTCTGGAGGCTGCCAAGCTCTGCAGTCGACTGGATGCCCGGTGCCTTCCACGCGAAGAAGCTTTTGCACGTGCGCCGCCACCTCGCGCAGTAGGCGTTCATCTCTGCCGCCTCGCTTCTCATGACGTTTGGCCCAGTCCTCAAATCTCGTTGCATAGGTCTGGATTGAAGACCCGCCGTCCATAAGGCGCCATGCAGTGCAATACGCCCTTGTCCCACGCATGGGCATGGGGACCTGGCCATTTCTCCTCCCCCCCCCAAATCGCCCCGCCCGCTCAGCGTCCTGCGTGGTGTGCGCCACCACGGCCGGGCTTTCACTCCTCACGCAACATGCAGCTTCTTGCGAGTGATCTTAACTCTCCGCTCATGCCGCGCCATGCTGAGCTCAAGGCTGCGCTTTGCCGAGCATTGCTGTCTTGCGAGACTGGTAGCACAGGAGGTGCACCACGTCATCATCCACCAGCTTCCTGGTTTGCGGATGAGGCGTGAACCTGCGATGGTCTCAAAATAGAACCCACAAAAATGCTTGTGTTCATGTTGGCTTCCTTTTAAAGCCAACTGGGTTCCGACAGAAGCCAACTCCTCTATTTCCCCTCGGCCTCCGCCTTTGTTGCCGTGAAGCTCAAAGAAATGTAGTAACCATTCCGCTTCAAGGCATGCGAGATGCACACAATGATATTTCAACTTGAGCAACGACCAATGTTCCTTCTGTTCTCGGAGGGCGCAGGGTTGCCGTAAGGAACTTTCTTCATGGCCACCTTCTTCTGGAAATTCGCCAGTCGAAGGCAGTTTAGTTCTTCTTCCTGAGATGCTGCTTGACTCCTAACCTTTCTTTCTCTTTCTAGCGACCCCCTTTTGTCCCACCCTTTGAATTCTTATTCGGCCCTTAAATTTGACCCTTGGCTTGTCTTTCCAAGTGCTGTCCAGTCTCGGACTTCTGAAAGCTTCCCCAGGAAAGCCTTCGCCTCAAGCAGTCCTGTCAGCTTCCATCTGCCTTTTCAGTCTGAAAAAGCCCAACCCAACACCAGAGTCAGAATCAAAACCCGGTACTAAAATGGTCTACCCAGAACCATGTAAAGAACTAAGAAGGCGGATATCCGCGGCTATTTATGGTTGGGATTGGCCCTTACTAACCTTCATCTACCCGGGTTTTGAGGACGTGGCTCATGAGGCGAGACCTCCGGTGGGCCGAGGCTCTCCACCGCATCTCCGAAGTAGCTCTCGCAGGCGGATTTGCACCCGGGCAAAAAGAAGGCGAAGGACCAGCGCTGGTCGTGCTCCACCGCCTGAAAAATGGCCAGGCGAAGCCCAATGGGCCAAGGGTGTCCCATTTGGTTTCCCGAAACAACCCAAGGGACAGGTACGCTCAAAAAAAGCGCTCTGAAATCGTTCTGAGGCTGAAAATTCGACACGCAACTCAAAAGCTACCCCTTGAGTGAGCCTTGAAGGTCACACAAATTCCCAGCAATCAGCGACTGACATGAGTTTGGTGACTCGCATGAGCTCCAACAGGCCATGGAGAAGGCATGCAGCGTATGATATATGACAATATAAACTGCGCATGACTTAGCCATCCCGAATCGAAGGAGCTAGGAACCGATTAGTTTGCCGTCTGCACCACCACGAGTCAACGTGCGCGTTTTCTGAGGCAGAACAACGTGGCGGAAGATTGCGATAGCCTCCAGAGTGGCTGCATGGCTTCCAAGCCAAGATGCCAACAGCTGCGTGTTCTGCTCGGCCGTCAACATGCCTTCCCAGTTGCCATGGATCTTGTCGAGGTTGTCGCCGCCTGCTCAGGACGGGGCGGAACTTAACCCGAAAGGGATGCCTAGGTGCGCAAGGCAGCAAGATCCTGCCTACGCCACAGCCAGGCACAGCAATGAGTACCGCATCAAAGAGACCTGCACCGGGTTCAGTATGGTGCACTTGATGTATGATGCAACAAATGAACCGAGTTCAGCACACCTGGGTATGTCTCAACATAGGATGACCTCCAAAATCACCCGTTTTGTTCGGCTTTCCTTTGAAGCTCAAGGCAAAGGAGGGCAACATCCTGTCCTGAAGCCGAAATCGACGATGCCGGGCGGGCCCACTTCACGCGTCGCGCCTGAAACGTTTTGCTGGAACCACCCGCCACAGTTCCCGTATCTTAGACACGGCTTCCGCCCGCAGCTCGTAGCGAAGCTCCGCGCGCGCCTGAGGCCGGGATCCGAGGCGCGGAGCCTTGGAGAGCCTTGGCCTCCCAGTTGGCTCGGACCCAAGGCCCAGAAGTAGCCACAATCTCCGCCATCTGCGCACACACCAGGGTTGACTCGTGTGTGTGTGTTCGAGGGTGCGCTTTGGTTTTGAAGGGAAGCCGAAAGAGAAGTTTGACATGCCCAGATCCTCTTCACTTGAAGGCCCTGTTGAAGCACCTCCAACAGTGCCGGTGTGGGCCATTTGTTGACTCGCAGAAAAGCAAAACCAAACAGCAGCCGGTTCCCTCTAATGCCGTATTCCTCTTTCTACAACGTGCAAAGGCTAAGAGGGGCACGTCTCTGCTAGGCCCTTCAAATAAGCACTGAGAGGTTTGCCTTGGCACAAGCCAGTTGGGCCTCACAGTGTTCTGTTCCGTGTGATGAAACAGTATTCTCTCGCCGCTAGAAATAGGTCGGCGGACCCGCCCGCAATGGTACAAATCTAACTGCAAATGGAGCCTTGAATATCTGATGCCAGGCTGTATTGTTTGAAGTGATGTTAACCCCGGATTAATAAACCCCTGGTTGATTAATAGGGGGGTGTCCCCTTTTAGTGGGGATTCATCACTTTTGGAGGGAACACCCCGCTAATAATGGGACGGGTGTAGATTCCTGCACTAGTGATGTGTCCTCTGCAGAGTCTTTGAGGCCAGGCGTTGCTTATCCAGCCTCCTTCAAGAGCAGCTTCAACGCGTCATTGACCTTGGGATTGCGGGAAGAGCAAACAAGCCAGCAACCGGCCGGAAGGCAAACCAAGAAAAAAAGCGCAAGTGGATGGACGGGCGCACGCACGAAAAACAAGCATTCAAGCAAGCAAGCAAGCAAGCAAGCAAGCAAGCAAGCAAGCAAGCAAGCAAGCAAGCAAGCAAGCAAGCAAGCAAGCAAGCAAGCAAGCAAGCAAGCAAGCAAGCAAGCAAGCAAATCAAGCAAGCAAATCAAGCAAGCAAATCAAGCAAACAAAGCAAACAAAGCAAACAAAGCAAACAACACAAAACTAACAGACAGACAAGCAGATAGAAAGACACAAAGCAAAAATAACAAAGCACACAAACAAGTACGACCAAAACAATTTCAAGCGACAAGTAAACAAGCCAACCGCAAGGGAGGGAGGGAGGGAGGGAGGGAGGGAGGGAGGGAGGGAGGGAGGGAGGGAGGGAGGGAGGGAGGGAGGGAGGGAGGGAGGGAGGGAGGAGGGAGGGAGGGAGGGAGGGAGGGAGGGAGGGAGGGAGGGAGGGACTTCGATGAACACTCAGTCAAAGTGAGCAACCCTCACCCGATCATTTTCTGAACACAGTGCGGACGGAGATCGCTTTCAGGCTCGAAGCATCAAGACTTGATTGAACCAGGGGCTACAAAACAAAGCACATCCCTCCTGAACAAACCATCAGAATGTCACCTGCAAAACGTCTTTTGGCCAAGCCTTACTCGTCCTCTGGGCAATTGGAGCGAGCCACGGAGTGACTGAGTGACTGGGGCCCCCGGCGCCCCCCTCAACTCCGGCCAGGTGCTTCGCATTTTCCTGGCGCTCTGGGGTCCAGGCCAGGCGCTCCGGCGGCACCTGGCAGGCTTCGTTCAACTTGCTCCGCTGGCTTCGCTTGATTCGTTGGGTGAGCGTCAAGGACACTGCGCCAGTGTTGGTGAAAAAATGGTTGAAGTCCCACATCCCTTCCAGATTCCAAATGTGCAAATGGTAGAGGGCTGCAGGTTTTAGTGCACGTGTCCATTTACCAGGGTTCCTTTTTGGGGACTGATTTTTGACCCACCGCCACATGGACCATATGCGATCGATAACTCAAAAATCGGCCCATGCGAATCCCCACCTCGCAACACACGCCCGAGGACAGCAGCAGCTCGCGTACTTGAGCACTCAAGGCGTCCTCCTCAAGGGACACATACCTGGCTCCGGTTGCATGGTGTGCACACAACTCCAACCATTCCAACCCCTACCTTCACAACCCTTGGTATGGTGGCAAAGAACTTCTGTTTGAAGCCCCCGACAAAAAATGAACAGAACCAAAACAAAGAACAGTGAAGCTACGTCAGTTCTCCTCTTTTCTCTTCCCTGGATTCAATCGAGGTGCTGAGCACCCATGTCTGCCCGACCAGCATCGGTTCGGGTAGTGCTCATGCGCCCTCCTGGAGCCGAGAGAGCCGAGAGGTAAGGGAAAGGCCATCCAAAACGGGGCACCGAAACCGAAGTCCCCGATCGTCAAATGCAGCCGCTCCCGTTCGTTGCAAAATCACAGCCACGAAGAACGAGAAGAGCTGTACCCATGCAACCACCAACAAAAAGCTGTCTCCAGCTTCCCAGCGCTTGCCCACATGTCCGTCTCCGTCTTTTTCCTTCGCAACAAGCCGTCGTCCAGTCCTGGGCCACGGGCCTTCTCCCAGACCTCCAGCTGCATCTCGGGCAGCAGCTGCCGCAGGCGCCAGCAGGCGGAGGCGCCCGTGGCGCCGGCGCCCACCACCAGCACCCGGTGCATCGCGTCGCGCGCGACGCGGGATCCGCGGGATCCGCGCCCAAGGCGAGGCTTGGAGGGTTCTCCCCTTACCGCGGGGACACCAGGAACCCCCGGCCAAAGAGTGGAGCCAAGGAAAAGGGGAGAGGTCGTTGGCATGCGGCGGAAAAGTGGATGGGTGAAATTGGATTGAATGCATGCTTGGCACGGAGTTGAGTGTTGTGTGCGCGTTTGCAGGAGTATTGTATGTATGTGTGTGTGTGTGTGCATCACGCTTGCTTGTTTCAGGCTCTTGGGCTTGTCCTGCTAGCACGCAGCATGAATGTGTTCGGGCAATTGTTGGTCGTCGGTTGCTGCTTTGGTTGTCAGCTTCTCCTGTTTCTTATCCGAGGTTCCAGTGGCATGGCTACAGGGAGTGCTAAGCGGTTTGCAGCGCCCAAGATATCATGGCTCGTCAAGAACATTCTGTACAAATCCTGCCGAATCCCGCAAGCAGCCAGAATGACGGATTCGCAGATGGCGAGCATCGGCAAGCTCACCAGCAGAACAGCTTGAGCTTGGAGAGCGTGGGAGCCCATCTTCTAGGTTCTCATAGGCACACTTACACGGACTTGGAATCCACAGCACATTTAAAGCCCCCCAGAAAGTATGACTTCCGCAAAAGCATCCTGATTGATGGGAAGCTCAGACGGGTTCCTGACACCTCATTCACGTCCGAGCCATGCTCAAACCACCCAAAGAGTTAAGAGGGCGGCGCCCATTGATGTTTGGGACCGGTTTGACTTTGGCTCCACTCTCCTCCTTCGGCCCCCGCCTTTCTCCGGCTCCTTCTTGGTGCCGGGAATCTCGTGACCTGAAAACCCCCGCTATCCGATCAGCTCAAAAACAAAGCTTCTGAATTTCTCGGACCCCCTGATTTCTTGCACTGCCACGCATCTTGTAAGTTTGAACTGTAACATTGGCTCACTTCAGGCCTGTCAAGACTCCTCTAACACAGGCCCAACCGGCCCCGAAGGACCGGGTTGATCCCATGCCCCCCGCACATCGCGCCTCCGAAGCCACAGACCCCGGCGACGAAGTCGGCGGAGCCCCCGTCCGGCGCGACGCAGGCCTCGGGAAGTGGGGCCGTGGCGGACGTTTTTTTTCTTTCTTCGCTCGGAACGCGCGTTGAGGCAGGGCCGTGTGTTGAAATGGAACCCACGACATTTGTGATACAACAAGGGCCTCCTAAAGACTAACCACCCATAAAAAGAGGGGATGACTTGTATCACAGAAGTGAGGCAAAGACGACGCACACTCGAGACCATTCGAAAGACGGAACCCTGCAGGAGCGTATTTTGGTGGGGATTGGGATGTTCACTGGGGGCTAACCGGGATTTTGACCCATGGCCATTTAACAAAAGCCGCTCGATTGCCACCGGAGAGTTCTCATGTTCAGATCCAGGTCCCGTGCGGAGAGCCTCTGCTCGCTGTCCGGGTCCAAGCCCAAAGGCAGCAAGATGCGCAGCCTCGCATTGGCAAAGACCCAAAGGCTTGCAGAAACTTGGGCGAATTGTGAAATATAGCCACCTCATTTCTGTGTGTGTGGTTGTGCTATGCTCAAACTCGGGCAAAAAGCCTCCGGGCGCGGGCGTTTTGCAGAACTTTTCCAAGAACCAAATGGTGACAAGCTCCCCATATCTCGGCCTGCCTTTGTGGAAAGCGTATGAACAGTGCATTGGATCCAGGTGTAGCTACTTTGGGGACCACTGACAACTGACTCTCGGAATGCGCCACCTCCACCTGCCTGGAAGCAACAGGTAAACAGTGCTGGCGTGTCATGCCTCATTGACCGGTCTTCTCCGGCATGTCACATAGGTGTCTGCCAGTGAAATGGTGCCTGAGAGCAACCTTGCTTTCTGCGGTGCTCGAGTTGGTCTCAAATGGACCCGAATTCCCAGCCACCAAATGAGGCACGTGTTTTTGGACGCCTTGGGTCGTAGAGGAGCTGGCAGGAATTGAAAGCCAAACAAACAGGTCCCCTTTTCAGGTTGGTTCAGCCAAAAGGAAAGCCAGCATTTTGAGGGTCCCCTCTTTTGACACGGAACCATCTTGGAAGTAAGCCAAGGGCCTAAATAGTTTAATATCCTTCCTTGCATCTCTTTGCGCTTACCTGAGGCCTCAGCTCGCCGACCTTGTTCTTGCCCACAATGACCTCCAAGGTACAAACCTCAGCCGGCTTCCTGGCCTTCGTGCGCTCCGGCGAAGCCAAACAATTCAACCTGATCGAATCAACTCGCCAACGGATATCCAGGTCCAGCAAACGTTTCGAGACTCCCCCTTGAACGGTTGGCCTCCTCAAGACTCTTGTCCTTTCGACGCATGGCTGTGGCTCAAAACACCGGTACCAAAATGGGCTGCCCTGGTAAGTGGAAACATGGACCGGCATGCCTGCCGCTCGAGCCCGCGGCCACTGGATTCGATGCGCTGGCAGGGCCTCGCGGGATGCAACTTGTCAAGTCCCCAGTATGCCTGGCCTTGAATCTCAAACAATATTCATAACAATAACAATACTACTACTAATAATAATAATAATAATAGTACATGGTTTACATATTTTCAAAAAAAAAAAAAAACATACACACACACAGTACTCAAAGTGCTCTTGTTGGCTTCCTTAGTTCAGACATATCTGAGTACCCAATGGGTTCCAGATTCCTCTGCTGAGGTGTACAATGCTGCGCATACACAGATTATGGCTATGTCTCAAAACAGGGGAAACCCCCAAGTGATTTCCTTCAAACATGATCCCAAACATGGTGCCCTAAAAAAAAGAAGACCTGCAACGACACATACTCATACAGTTCATACATATCTATGTATTATAGTCATTGAACACCCATGCGCATCGGCAATTTGTGCTTGCAACACGAGAAGGTTCGACACCATCCGAGGCGTGCGGCCTGCATCAGTCACTGCTTCAGCCTGCGAAGCGCCCAGTGACTTGGGAGGAAAAGTTGGAAGATGGGAGGACGTGATCTTGAAAAAGCATCGAAGCTGTGGTGGCCTTCTAAAGCCTTGGCGACCATGTGCAATGCAACTGCGAAAGGCTTCCAGCATCAAATGAAGGCTGACGCTGAGGACAAAGGCAGTCAAGGATTCGGGTCAAAAATAGGTACCCCAAAATGGAACCCTGGAAAATGGAACCTCTCAGGGAGCCTCCGCGGCTGCTGCTGCTGCTGCTGCTGCTGCTGCTGCTTCTTCGGGCGGCGCATCCTCCGCAGGAAGATTGGCAACTTGGACGCGGACGGGATGGGTAGGATGGACAGAATAGGAATTCACTGTTTAGCATGGGTTGGAGGCGTCGCATGGGGTGGATACGTGGCATGAGATTGATGTGTAGCATGGGTTGGCTGGGCACAACTGACCGAGGTAGGTTGTTGAACACGCGTCGTGGAAAGGCAGGCTGCTTGAAAAAGGATCACATTGCTCAGAATCGGGTCATCGCCATGTTCTGGGAGCCGGATAACGCTTGTGCACTCCTGAAGAACCAGTACAGACAAAAAATTCTGAGATTCCCGAATTCCAAGACCACGCACACATTGACATCGAAAAGAAAAACCATGGGGGTCCAAGATTTTGTTGACGGTATCCTTTGTTCGGCTGGTTTAAAGAGCTTCCTTCTACTTGGTGGCTTGGACTGGTGGTTTTGTGACAAAGGAGGGGTCTCCCATTTGTCCTCCACAAAAGCCAGTGGTTCTATCCAAATCCACCAATCCAAACCACCAAGTAAGGGTTGCCTGAGAGCACGGAGTACCCCTACCGAGGGTCACAAAAGGAATGTCTGACCGACTGAGTAGCCAGCTGTTGGCGCTGCGTCAGCCTTCGTGCAGCGCTACGGGCCGTGTCCAAACATCGGGACCTCCTTTGTTTGGGATCCAAAGGGAAACCAAACGAAAAGCAACCGGTCAGGGGTCACACCCCCATGGAATCAGATTTCCTCCGAACTGATTTCGAAGGATGCCCCAAGTTGATGGCCCCGGGAATTGGCTCGCTGTTGAACAACAGGGGAAATAAACGTCCAACGGCCAAACATGGGAGGCAAGGTGCACGGCCATTGGTAACCACTTCGAGCAGTAACCCTGGCCCGAAATCCAAACATGCAAGCAAGAAGGCAAACCCCCAGAGCAAGTCTCGTACTGGCCTGCAACAGTGGAAAAAGAACTAATCTCTCATGAGGGGTAGGGGACAAAGCGCACGCTTACTTGCTACGCAACAAAGAACCACTTTTCATGTCCACTCCGGCCAAAAAAAATGGCCGGTGCCAGCACCGCCTCAGCCGCAGCATCAGGGGCAGAAGCCGGCGCATCGTCCACCTGCGAGTTCTGACCAAGGACGGGGCAGCGGTGCCAATGGTCCAATCAGTGGCATCCAAACCAAGCGGAAATATGGGTATGGGTCAAAATTCAACCACCACGGGACCGCAGGTTTTGTCCATGTTTCCACTTACTAGGGTTCCATTTGGAGTACCTATTTTTGACCCACAGCCATATAGTCGAACAAATGCAGTCAACTTAGATCAGCTCGGGTAGATGGCCGTGGGTCAAAAGCCCGGTTAGCCCCCAGTGAACATCCCAATCCCCACTAAAATAGGTCCTAAAATGGGTGGTGAATTCACCTACCCCAAAATGGGATCCCATTGGTTTTGAGCCACAGCCATATAGTCGAACAAATGCAGTCAACTTGAATCAGCTTGGGTGGATGCATCGGGGCTCTTCTCTCACCGGGGCCTTCGGCGCAGCCTCTTCCTTGCAACACAGCAGGAGAATGCGCTGACAAGCCACTGGGATGTCGCGGCACCGTTCAAACAGAAACCCGGCGAATCATTTGCAGGCCTCTAGCATAGATGCTGCTACTTCTTCACCCCAGCTTCACCCTGGCATAGATTCCCTAAGTGTTGCAAGTATGTAAGCCTTTCAAAACCAGGGAATCATTGCAAACCAAAAAAAAAACAACCCGTGGAAGCAAAAAAAAAACAATCTGTTCCCGACGAGCAGAACGCAACTCGTGTGCTTGCCAGCCTCTTCCTCCGAGGGAAGCGGTGTGCCTGGGTCCAGCATTGCCTGACAAACTGCCCGATGGATCTCTGGGCAAGGTTTGCTCATCAGAAGCCGGGAAGATCCAACAACTCGTTCTCAACTACATCAAACGTGTCTGCGTGCTGTGGAATCGCTAAAAAGGATAAAACATGTGGCAACACCTGGAAAAGAAGGAAAGCAAAAGCAAGATCATGCAAGTTGTGTTACGTTCCCTGCAGACTGCTGCAGACCTGGCTTCATTCCACCTCGCGGAACAAAAGGTGACATTCACACAGCCTCTTCTGAGTCATCATCCTCGTCAGCCTGGTGACAAGTCACCCGTGCAATGCAGTGCTTGCCTCTGTGCTTCAAACTGCGTCTGCCCTGCTTGAAGGCATGCTATTGCGGGGATCTTCGCTTTCTTTTTCCACACCGCAAAGCTGCCGGCTGAGGAATGGCCCAAGGGTGGGCAACGGCATGCGTCGCTCACGCCGTCGCTACTCGCTCTCGTCGGCGTCGCCTGCTCTATGCATCCTTTCGGCTTCTTGGGCCTCGCTGCAGATTTGAAGGACCACGGGAGCCAAGTTCGCATCAACCAGGTACCTCCTCAAGCGCGAGGCATCGCCATGCTGTGCAGCCCACAGCGCATCGATCAGCTTCAGAGCAAAGCTCTTGTTGGTGCCCAGGAATAGGTGCAAGAAGGGACGGCGGAAGGTGATCTTCTTGAAGTCTGAGCCCCAATCATGACGAGGCACATTTGGGAATGCCAGCTGGTTCAGGGCAAACAGCAGAAGCACCCCGCTTAAGATACTGCCTTGCAGCACCCGCCACTGGTCCTGCAAATTGAACGCCAGGATCTGACCGGTCCACAGCACTGGAAGCAGGATGGCAGCCAAAGACATTAGGCCGACACACCACTTATATTCTGGTGCCTGTATGATGTCCCACGAGAAGTGCAAATACTCCCCGCTGTCAAAGCTCCAGATTCCGCGCTTCACTGCAACGACAAAGTAAAGCAGCAAAAGCAAAGCAGCCCCGGCCGGTAGCAGCCACACCAACACAATCCAGGGAATGTTGGCGCCATCGATGCTTGTGGCTGGAAGCGTAAGCATTGTACCATTGTAGAAAACGCTCTCTGATTTCTGCGCATGGCCCAGGAAAAAGGTGTCGGTGACATTGGGCAAGTAGGTCGTAGTCGATTCAGTGGAGCCAAAGAGAAACAAATAATAGAAGTAGCCTTCCAGGCGGCTGCTGAGCTCAAATTGCGATCCCATTGCCGTTCGCAGATTCACGTTTGCGATCAATCTCAGCCATGCGAAGACTGCCAAATAGATGGGGGCACACTCGACAATGACCATGTGAATCCATGCAGTGGGGAGTTGCCGCCACAATGGAGCCTCGGCCTGAGCATTGAGCTCGTCTGACTCCATGTCTAGGCTTTCCATTGCCAAACACTTCCTCCGAGCTTGAGCCAGTGTTCGCTGGGCCAATGTTCAGTCCGCAGGCGTATCTCAAAGGCTCCGAGTTTCGGTCTTTCGGTGCCTTGCTGTCGGCCGGCGCTTCCTCTTCTACCTCGCAGGCCCGACCGGAAGGAGGCAATTGGGCGAAAGCCAAGTCATTGAGAATAGCAGGTGCAACCTAATATCTCGGGCATGGCATGGTGTGTTGAAACAGAATGCCGCTCGAAAAGGATGCATCCATTTTGTGCAGCCTATGTGTACACGCTCCTGGTTGCTCGGCCCATTGCGTGACTGTTTGCAAGCAAGACATGCCAGCATGCAAGACAAAGCTCGATGACCACTCAAGCTACAACATCCCCTGGAAGCATGCCATGTGCTCCCAAGAACATGCACTGATTCCTCTGGATGTTTCCCTCTGGCATTTAAGGTCTCCATGCGCAAGCCGTTTGTGGAGGCACTGCCGCACAAAGAATTCCGACGACTCAGAAAAGCAAGTTGGCCTCATCCCGCCAATCGCGCTGGCGCTTCGTAGCAGCCTCAGGCCGGCCGTTTGCAGGCCGTTTCCTTGCCTGCTGAGCCATCTGCAGACTCAATGGAACCGGCGGACCTGTTCAGAACATGTGCAAACCGGTGCCTCAACTTGCCCCAAGCGCCAACTGGGTATGGCTCAAAAATAAAGGTTTTGGTCTTTATGTAAGCCACGGCCAACCAGCCTTCGGTGTCAACCGCTTTTAAGCCCAAGCTGCGCCCAAAGCCGCGCCGAAGTGCCCGCCGATGCGGCGCTTGCCTGGGAGCCGAGGAAAGCTGCGGGGTCGGCCGTTCTCGCTGACGGTGGCTATCCAAAGCCGAAGGGTGACGCCTACAAGACTGACATCAAGTTGCATGCAGGTGGACAAAAACCAGAATGTCGGCCTTGGAAAGGATTGGATGAATACATCTACAAATAGCCCCTCCACAAACCAGCTGAAGATAGCACAAGCTTCACAGGGGCAATGTTTGGCTTGAAGCGACGCTTCATGCACCTGGATCACCGGCTGATGGCCATCGCAGCCATCTAGCCCATCACTTTCACAAGGATGGAGCCAAAAAAAAAGAAATCAAGAAGCCATGGAGCCAAAAGCGGCTAGAAACAAAAAAACACCAAAAATAATACCCCCTCCAAAGAAGCGCGGCTTGCTTAGCCCGCGACGTCCAATTCAGCTCCCTTCAGCTCCCTTCAGCTCCCTTCAGCTCCCTTCAGCTCCCTTCAGCTCCCTTCAGCTCCCTTCAGCTCCCTTCAGCTCTGAGGATCCAGCTCATGGCTTTCCCAAGCTCAGCTCACAGGTGCAACTCAGCCCCGCGGCAACCTGTGGCCATTGAAAGAGGCCATGGGTTTTGTCGTGAGCATCTTGGAAGCTCCTTTTGGTCTGTCAGCTTGGCGAGCAAAAAATGGTCTGGCTGGGGGGGGGGGGGGTCTTGGAGAAACCCACATCGGTGTGTTTCTTGGTTTCAAGGTGGTGAGTTTGTTTGCCGCCATGTTCACTCTGCCTGTGTCAGCTTTGAGTGCGGCCGGTTCGGGCATTGACTGACACTCGATCAAGCAAGGGCTCACGTGACTCGGGCGTCTAGGCCACTTATCGATTCAAACCGCATGGCTCAGAAACCTGATTCCACACTCTGCGCGACGCCCACGCACTTTTCCACGCTGCAACGCATGCCTGGGCCGTCAGGTGTTTCACAGCGCTAGCAAAAGAAGCACAGCACAAGTCCTGATTCCCAAAGTACTGTGCAGCCGAACAGCAAGGATCCACCTCCCCCATTGACCGCTGGCTTTCTGCTTCGCGCCCCACAATCAAGAAGCGCTGACAGGCCCCGATGCTTAGGCCTCTGCCATCAGGTCATCTCCACCACGCGCGAACGCTGGCCTTCCAGCTTCTCCACCTCCGTTGCGAAAGACATCGGCGGTGCAACGAAAAGGGTTCCCGCTTCCCAGTGCTGCAAACAAGTCCCATCACTCAAAAAATGCTGACCAAATAAAAGATCCTCTCAATGGAACAGGTTTTGAAAAACCCCGCCACCACCACCACCGCCGCCGCCGCCACCACCACCACCACCACCACCACCAGCACCAGCACCAGCACCCCACTGCCGCCTCCAGCACAGCCTTGGAAAGCTTCTCTGCCTGCGAACGGCCCAGGACGTAGGCAAAGGAACCCACGATCACCACCTCGCACGTACGTCACGCCCTCCCCACCCGGCCGAACTTCGAACCCCCCGGAAGCGGCGGGGGGTTCGACCACGGGACCCGCCTGCGCCGTTCTTTTTGGCCCCAACCGGTTCGAGGGTCAACCTTTTTTTTCGGCAATCTGTTTGGGGGGGCGGCTGCTGTGGTTCACCCACTCGAGAAAAAAACGGCCGGATGCCGTTTGCGCCTTTTGGGTGGGCCCAACACTTGGAGAGCGGTACAGCCCTTTGAGGCGCCCCCAGGTGATCGCCCTACGATCGGATCTGAAGGCTGCGCTAGTTCTGTTCTTCCCTCGCCTTCAGAAAGCCGGGGGCAGTTCCCGCCCTCGCATGCCGGGTGCCCTTTAGGATACCATGGCGACTCAAACGATTCTGAATCCAAGTGATAGCGCGCGGTGTTCAAGCAAACAGTTGTTGGCAACAAATGCAAATGCAAAACAACAAGCATGAAAGAACGCATCAAAACTGCCAACTAATATACTTCCAAGATGAGCTATTCCGACTCCGACACCGATATCCGACACAATAAGCTGCTACCAGCACTGGAGGGTTGAGCACTGCACTTGCGCAGGGCGTCCTCCCTCCAAAAGTATATGAGGCAAGCTGCAATGCCACCCAGCATCTTCAACTGACCTGCCGCGCAGGCACATAGGAAAGAACTGAGGTGAAACGAGCGGTGACGACGCCACATCCTGCCTATTGCATGGAAGTCTTTTGGTATGTCGAGAACCTTTGACACCCATGTCTTGCAAGTCCTAGGTTGCATAACTGCTGCATAGCAAAAACAACGACACAGGAGAGACCAGAGGCGACAGCAGCACTTCTGCAGTAGCATTGTCGTCGTTTTCTTGTAGTGCTGATATGGGCGACAGAAATCGGAGTTCACTTCAGCAGCAAACAAACGCATGCATTGTCCAGTCCGGACAATCTAGCTAAAAATTCGATTCAGTTCCTTGAACACGAAGCAAGCAGCTCCCTTGCCTGCAGCACTGGCCGGGTTCAAATCCTCCCAGCCAACTATGTAGCTCACTGCCTCGGCAATGTTTTTTCGGAGACCCTCCAGGCCTTCTGAAGCGGGGCTCTCAAACAAAAGCTCCGGCCATAGGAGTCGTCGCTGTCATAGGTGTCCTTTTTTGGGAAAATAGATGGCCCTGGTAGTTGCTTGAACCATCAGGTAAACCAGGGCCCTCCACTTTTCAACCAAATCAACCAAAAAGGACACCTACAGCTGCAGTGGTTGGCCTTTGATCAACGGAACCTACCATCTCCAGGTCTTTGGCCCAAGTCGGGAAGATGATGCCCACCACGCCGCCTGCGGCTCGCTCGTGTTCCCCCCCCCCCCCCAACCGAAAAAGGGGCACGTGGGTGAGTAACAAAGGTGAAGAGAGCGCATCTGTTTCTCTTGAGAGGGGGCCTCCCCAAAAATGGCGGCTGTCCTTTTGGGTCCTTTCAACCTGAACGGGGCGTCCTGGATCCTCTCAGAAGAGCAGACACCTTCAAAAGTGAGTCGAGCCGAGGAGCAAATGGCTTTCACCACGGAGTCAAAGTACTTGGCCACCGCGGCGCCTCAAATGCAGGAAACTGGCTGAGGGGGGGGTTCTTTTAAAGGGAAAACAAGAGGAAACGACCTGTTCTACCTTCCTCCACCCCGTCTTGGTTTTGAGAAACGCCCCCCTTTGCACTGTCTCATCAAGCCCTGCGCGAAAAAGCGCACCTCATCCCGTTCCGTGAAAAAAACAAACAAACAAAAACGGCCCACAGGTTCTCCGAGGGGGGGAAAAAACAAAAAAAAAAAAGGCGCGGGCGAGGCGCTGAGGATGGTGTCGCCCAGGCTGTGCAGCACCTCGCCGGCCGTTGCTCCACCGGGCCATCGGTGCCGGATCCAAAGCTCCGACATGGGGCGACCCTTGGGGAAGCCACCCTGGGGCTCGGAATGATCACCCCCCCCCCCATCCCAAGGAGATAAACGCTTCTCAAAAGGGTGGACGCCCTCTTTGGAAAGGCAGTTAAAAGGCCACCGAGAGGAAGGTTGAAGCGGGACCCTGAGAAACGGTCAAGGTTGTTTGGTGGATTGGGGACCTCCAAAGATGGTCCCATTCCGCGTCAAGGTTGGCACACCTTATCACAGCTTCAGGAATCCTGGACTTTCGCTTTCGCAAGTCTTTCCAAACACATCGAAAAAGGACGCTGGAACCTGCCGAAGCTCGCGCGCGGCGGAAGATATCAGCCGAGAAGCAATCACATACCTCAGCCAGTCCAAATCCATGGCAAAGGGTTTGCCTCAAAAGGGTAGAATCGTCCGAATGGCTTTGTTTTTGTTGAGGGAACCCCCTTTTGGAGTGTTTTTTTTTAAAGACAAACCAAAGGGAAAAGCCATTTTGGAGGTGTCCCTATTTTGACACACAGCCAAATTGAGTGTTGCATGTTCGCTGTGGAACCCCAAACGTCGGGGGCCGCACGTCCAAATGGTCCAGTCGTGGAAGAAGCCGCCAGGCCTGGCAAGGCAAACATCCCAGGTGCCCAAAGGGGATCCCCGGATCAAATCAGCCAATCAAACAGCATCAAGATCAAATCTGGGCGCCACCCACCCACCCACCCACCCACCCACCCACCCACCCACCCACCCACCCACCCACCCACCCACCCACCCACCCACCCACCCACCCACCCACCCACCCACCCACCCACCCACCCACCCACCCAGCACTGCCCTCATTTTTTTCATCCCCGCAGGTGCCCACGAGCGAGGCCACGCCATTGGCGAAGTGGAGGTTGTCGTCGAAGAAGCCGCTCGCCACACAGTGGCTGTGGGCATCGAGGTGGTGGATGGCAAGGACCACGGACCTGGGAAAACACCCACCCAGCCGATCGGAACAGAGAAGCCAAGCTCGAGCAGCCAAGTTCGCGAATGGTTTTGTCAAAGCGAAGAGGTGGGAGCAGTGGCCCACGCCCCCCCACCCTCCTCCCCAGGTGTGGAGAAAGCAGCAAGTGGCTCTGCCCCTCCCTCCGGCCCTCCCTGCCCTCCCAGCCCCCCTTCCGAGGCGCTGATTGCAGAAGGCCTTGAGGTTCCGCTGCGCCAGCGCCTTGGACGCCGAGTCCAGCGGCGCCAGCGCCTCGTCGATCAGCAGCACCGCGGGGCAGCGGTCCCTCGATCGGTTGGGGGCACGGGGCGCTGGAGACAGCGGTCCCAAAAAAGTCCCAAAGACGGCCCAAAGCTTGTTTCAAGGGGTTCAACCGTCCCAAGGTCGAAAGGTTGTCCAAAAACTTACACATGATGTAACATGGTACGGCTGTGTTGGGCATTAGGGCCAAAAAAAAAAAACGCGAGTCGACTGCAGGCCTCATGAAGACCTGCCCCACCAGCTCCGCCTTGGAGCGCTGGCCCCCGGAGATCTTGCCGTACCTCGACTCGCTTCGGCCAACATCTTGGGCCCCTTGGGGCCAAAGGGAAATGTTGCCACCCCCTCAATGACCCACCGTTCCCCTCAGGAATGACGCGACCATGCGATCCATTTCTTGACTCGTTGTGTCTTCCGAAGCACTCTGCGCTTCTCTGGGAACTCTCTGACTCTCTCACCCGGGCCCCGCACCAGTTGGCCTCCTCCTCCTCGCCCGAGTTCTGGAAGCCCAGTTCCGCCAGGTGCCGCACTGATTCTCCGTCCGCTTCAGCCCTCTCACCGCCGGCGAAGCGCCGCAGCCACGTGGTAGGGGCGGTGAAGAGGGGGCAGTAGGGCCTATGGATCGGCCGTGCTTGTCGCTTTTCACTCGGGTGTCCCGGTTTGACCCCAAACGCGCTCAATTTCAGGAACCTGCTCAACAAACGCCATTTGCGGCATTTGATCATCCGCCAAAGGGTTGAAAAGGAAACGGGAATCGCCCGCCAAAACATGGGGAAGCAAAAGCTAGCTCTACTGACCCGGCGCAGGTGCTGGACCTGGAGTTCTTTACAGCGAACTCCATGGGCAGAGCTTCAAAGCCTTGCTTCCCGTCCCAAGCCCCCCCCGGAAACCAATGAAAGGGCCCTCTCTTTTTCTTCTGCGTTCAGCTTCCTTGGGGTGAACTCCCTGCGTCGCTTCCGCTACGAGGCGCTGCTGGGTCACCTCCACCACGTCTCTGGGCGCCAGTAGGCCCTGGCCGCCCTCCAGGCCGGGTGGCCAGGAGTGCCCCGCGCAGGCGGCCAGCAGCCCGAAGAAGCTGCTCTTGCCGCAGCCGTTGGGCCCCGTGACCGCGTAGACCTTCCCCGCCTGCGAAAGGAAGGCCAAGGTGTTTTTTCCCCAACAGCTGAAACCTTTGGGGTCTCAGCCCAGATAGGCTCCGGGGTGGTCCGGGGCGGCCCTGAGGTAAGGTTCCACAAGGGTTCCACCAGGGTTCCACCAGGGTTCCACCCAGGTTCGAGGGTTCCTCCAGGGTTCCACAAGGTTCCGCTAATTTCTTCAAGAGCTGCGGCGTGGTCCGGGGCGGTTTGAGGAAGGTTCCAGGCTGCGGGGTGGTCTGGGGTGGTTTGAGGAACGAGCCAGGGTCCACCAGGGTTCCACCAGCTGTGACGCGGGGTGGTCCGGGCTGGTTTGAGGTAAGGTTCGATGAGAGGAAGGCGGGGCGGCCCTGAGGTTTCACAAGGTTCCACAGAGTTCCGCAAGGATGTGACAAGGGTTCCCCAAGGCTCCACAAGGTTCCACAAGGGTTTCAGAAATGTTCTGCAAGGTTTAGTGTGTCGTGCGCCCGCCGCTGAAAAGCCATCGGAGCAGTAAAATGAAAATCAATGGTTTTCAGCACACTTTGATTGTTTTGTCACCTGCTCACTTGCTCAGGCAACGCGGCCCGAAATGTTTGAATTTTGCAAATCAGATCACGTTGCTGCGGACTCACGGTGCAGCAGAGTATGCTTGGCATTGCTGGGTATTACTTGGTGGGCTTTGGGTTCAAAGAATTAACAAACGTTCCACGAGGTTTCCGCCAGGTTCTGCAAAAGCCATGGGGCAGCCCTGAGGAAAGGTTCCAACAAAGTTTCATGCTGAGTTCTACGAGGGTTCCACGAGGACGGCTTGCGAGGTTCACCGGGCCCAGGTTGGGGCCCGGTTGCGCTGTCGGGGCTCGATCGGCCCAAATTGCGCCATCGCGCCCCGGGCCCCGCCAACTGTACCAAGCTGGCATCGCCTAGTTTTGCTAGATACAGTTGTAAGGCCGCATCCTAAGGAAAGCCGGCGTTGAGCTGTAATATGGGTGGCTGGGGTTGCACCACGGGACCATCGGGCCCCGATCGGGCCCCGATTGACACACCGTCGGGCCCCGATCGGGCCCCGATTGCACCGTCGGGCCCCGACGGGCCCCGATTGCACCGTCGGGCCCCGATCAGGCCCGATTGCACCGTCGGTCCCCGATCGGGCCCCGATTGCGCCGTCGGGCCCCGATCGGGCCCCGATTGCGCCGATCAGGGCGCGATTGAACTGTCACTCTTGGCTTTGCTTTTTAACGCGAGGATTCTGGGAGGGTGTGGTGCTGTTGGGGATATCGCCTGAGCTTCTTTTTTTTTTTTGGGGGGGGGGCGGGGGTTGGGTAGGTGGCAAAGGGATTTGGATTTGGCGCCCAAAATGGCCCGGGTGGACCTCTCTTCCCTTCCAAACCTTAAAAGAGTTACCCTCCAAAAGAACACCCACTCAAAGAGTTTGAGCGCAAAGATGGTGGCCCCGGCCCAAAGGGCCACGCCCGCTCGAGCCTCCAGAGTCATGTCCTCGAAGCGCACGGAAACCTGGCCTCAGAAACCGCTTTTTGGAGCCCTTTCCAGGCTGCTGTAAAGGGAAATCTGCCTGGAAAGGGTACTCCAAAATCCACCGAAAGGCAAAAAACCGCAACTGTCTTTTGTTGACACCCCATGTGTCCCCTCTTGGCCAAAAAAAAAGCAACCTGTGCACCCGTCGGAAGAAGAAAGAAGAAAAACACGCGTCTCGGCCCAGCCGCCGCGGCGGTACGCGAAGCCGCGCAGCCGCACGTCGCCGCCTTCGCCATCCTCGCAGCTCGCGGTCTGGGCTCGGAGCTTGGCCAGGCTGGCGGAGAGATCCCTCAGCCGGCCCACCTGCGTGCGCAGGCTCGCCTCAGGCAACGCACGACCCGCAGCCCCGAGTTCGTGATCATTTCTATTTGTTGTTTGGTTCAATGTTTGATTTTGTATCCTTTAGCATTATGTCCTATGTCTATGTTTGTTATTATCCCTTTAGATTCTAAAATTTGCGCTAAATTGGCTTTTGCCTTTGCTTTCAGACCTCAGAAGCCTTGATTGAAAGGAACGAGTGAGGCCACTTTCCCAATGTCCTCGGCCAAGCATGAGCAAGTAAGTCAGCTGGGCGTGACGGGCTCAGAGAGTTTTTGGGGTGGGCTGTAACAGCGCTCGGACGGGTTTTGGGACGAGGTCCTCTGAGGCGCTAGCCTGAAAGGCGAACCGGCGGCCCGGCTAGCTCCATTTTCGGCGAAAGCGTTGACAAGTAGGGCGATTTGTGTAGGGCTATCTGTTTAGAGCCAGTTTTGGGTTTAGCGCGTGGGTTGGCTTGGGGGTTTACGGTTGGCTGAGAGTGGGTTGAAAAAAACAAACCCCACTTGTGTGCGTTTGAAGACTTAACTTCTTGAGATTCCACAACCCTTGCAGTGTTTTTGAGTTTCGCGAGATTCTGGAGTGGCTCCAACATACTGCGGTTACCAAGGCTCCCAGCATCTCAAGCCCGGCTTGATTTCAGGCTCTCGTTGACAACAGGGCTTTGGGGTCTGCATGTTGTTGGGCAATCATGATTCACTCACATAGCTGTGGGTCAAAATCCAAATTGTACCCCCAATGAACATCCCAATCCCCACTAAAATAGGTTCTAAAACGGGTGGTGAATTCACCAACCCCAAAATGGGATCCCATGGGTTTTGACCCACAGCCACATTGTGCGTGGAGACTTGCAAGGGCAACGTGCAGCCGGCAAGAAGCAGCAAGCAGGAAGGCAGGCGGGTCGGTTCTGGTTTGGGGTCGGCGGGGGTTGCAGGCTAGAAAGCAAGCGGGGGTTGGCGGATTGCAACAAGGACGGTTTGGGGTGTAGTGTAGGGGCTTAGGGTTGGTTTACGTTTGGCTTGGGCTTGATGTTGAATCGCGAAACCACCCCACGGCTCCTGCCACGCGAGTCGCCAAGGTGGGCTGTTGCCTGGATTTCACCAGCACCAGGACTAAGGCATCCTCCACCACGCGCGTGAAGACCCAAATGTCGGCGGCGGAGATGGCTTTGCACTGCAAGAGGTAAGCCTTGCAGCTGGCTTCAAACTTCTGGCGCCTTGCCCTGCAAAGGTTGACTTGCATAAAGCAAGAGAGACGTCCAAGGCTTTGGATAGGCTGAAATGCTTCAATGGACAAACGCTGCAAGTACCACACTGTCAAACGAATTGATGGTGGGGCACGGCCGAGCATTCCTGTCCTCCCCAACTCGCCTAAAATGCGACCAAATAATAGAGTTGGGGAAGGGAAGGAATG